AGAAATGCTAAGTTCATTGCTACACATAATGCAAAATGCCGACCTGGATGAATCACAAGCTAGAATTAAGATTGCTGGGAAGAACATCAACAACCTCAGATATGCAGACGATACCACTCTAATGGCAGAAAGTGAAGAGGACCTCAAGAGCCTCTTTCTGAGAGTGAAAGAGGAGAGCGCAAAAGTTGGCTTGAAACTCAACATCAAAAAAACGAAGATCATGGCATCCGGCCCCATCACTCCTTGGCTAGAAGATTGCCCTGGTTTGACCCCACCCCACCCCAGGCGCTGCCTCCTGAGCAGCTCCTTGAGCGCCGGGGCTTTTGGCGGGGCCGGGGCCAGAGGGGCACTGAGGCGCGTGTGAGGCTGGCTGTTGGGAAGGCGGGAAGCAGGGCTTCTGGGCGGCACCAGGGCTTTTGGCGGGGGTGGGGCCAGAGGGGTGCTGAGGGGCGCAACCGGGAAGCAGGGCTTCTTCTGGGCGGTGCGCCGGGGCTTTTTGTGGAGGTGGGGCCAGAGGGGCGCTGAGGCGTGTGCGAGGTAGGCCGCCGGGAAGGCCAAAACCAGGGCTTCTTCTTGCAGCCAGGGAAGCCTAGCCTTTTGGCGGGTGCTGGGAAGCTTTGGTGGGGGGGCTGGGTTGTGTTTGATACCCCTCAGGCTGGCCTGCGCTATAGGTGAATGCCTAGTTCGCCTAGCGGGTGAGCTGGCTATGATGCTAGGCAATAGTAAACATAGTAGGGTACTTGCTCACCCATCTTGACATGATAATGTGGTATTTTTCAGTTTGGGGTGCCTATTTTTCCAAAATAGCTCCAGTCAAGAACAGACCAGCATGCCCTAAAGTGCGGAAGTCAGCACTGACTCCTTGTACATTGTACAATTCCAGCTGGCCAATTCTTTACACATCCTTTATTAAGCATAATTTGGAGGCAGAGGTAGCGTAGAATTGCTGGAGACACTGACAGTTACATGCTGTCTGCTTTGCATCTGTCACTTCAACACGTGTTCTGTGGAATACATTATCTTCCAGCCCTCTCCCCACCACAACACTCTCCAGATTCATGGACAAAGCCAGTCACAAAGTTTGAGTCCAGTGGAACCTTTAAGACCAACAAAATGTTATTTTGGGTATAAGCTTAAGTGTGCATGCACACAGGAGTTGATGCCCAGAATAAAACTTGGTTAGTCTCAAAGGTGCCATTGGATTCAAACTTTGTCTTCCTGCTTCAGACCAACATGGCTACCCACCTGAAAGCCCGTCACAGTACACCTCACAAGATCCTGTTGCAGGAGAATAAATGGTTCCATGGCCTTGGCCTGCTCATTTTCATAGATTACCTTAGTTCTCTCCCCAAATTTCCGTGGAACATTCCAAGCATCCCTTTTATGCTTGATTAATTTCTGCCTTGGCTGTCTGATGAGGCTTTACAAATAGCAGAGGAAAGAAGGAAAGCGAAAGGCAAAGGTGAAAAGGAAAGATTTACCCAACTGAATGCAGATTTCCAGAGAACAGCAAGGAGAGATAAGGAGGCCTTCCTTTTTTTTTTTTTTTTTGGTAAACAAATTTTTATTATTTTCCATAAGCGTTTTACAGTTAACCATTTCCAATTTTCCATTATTCACGCAGGTTAGGAAAGGCACAAACAGGTATAGGAAAAAGCCTGCATGGTTAACAAACAGAGTAATGGAGGCTGTAAAAAGTAAAAAGAATTCCTTTAAGCAGTGGAAAGCTAGTCACAGTGAGGCTGATAAAACGGAACACAGGCTATGGCAAATAAAATGCAAGTCTGAGGTCAGGCAGGCAAAAAGGGAATATGAGGAGCATATAGCAAAAAACGTAAAAACCAACAATAAAACTTTCTTCAAATACATTAGAAACAGGAAACCAGCCAGGGAGGCAGTGGGGCCCTTGGACGACCAAGGGGTAAAAGGAGTATTGAAGGATGATAGGGAAATGGCTGAGAAGCTAAATGCATTTTTTGCCTCCGTCTTCACTGTGGAAGATGAGAAGTGCTTGCCCACTCCAGAACCACTGATTTCAGGAGGGGTGTTGGAAGACCTGAGTCAGATTGAGGTGATGAGAGAGGAGGTCCTAAAACTGATAGACAACTTAAAAACTGAAAAATCACCAGGCCCAGATGGCATACATCCGAGAGTTCTGAAAGAACTCAAATGTGAACTTGTAGATCTCCTGACAAAGATATGTAATCTTTCCTTAAAATCTGCCTCCATTCCTGAGGATTGGAAGGTAGCTAATGTCACTCCCATCTTTAAAAAGGGTTCCAGAGGAGATCCGGGAAATTACAGGCCAGTCAGTCTGACGTCGATACCGGGTAAATTGGTGGAAACCATTATTAAGGAAAGAATTAGTAGGCACATAGATGAACAAAACCTATTGAGGCAGACTCAGCACGGTTTCTGTAAGGGAAGATCTTGTCTCACTAACCTGTTAGTGTTCTTTGAGGGGGTGAACAAACATGTGGACAAGGGGGATCCAATAGATATTATTTACCTTGACTTCCAGAAAGCTTTTGATAAAGTTCCTCATCAAAGGCTCCTAAGTAAGCTCAAAAATCATGGGATAGAAGGACAAGTCCTTTTATGGATCAAAAACTGGCTAGTTCATAGAAAACAGAGAGTGAGTGTAGGTGGGCAATTTTCTCAGTGGAGGGTGGTAAGCAGTGGGGTACCGCAGGGATCAGTACTTGGTCCACTGCTTTTTAACTTGTTCATTAATGATTTGGAGATGGGAGTAAGCAGTGAAGTGGCTAAATTTGCGGATGATACAAAGTTGTTCAGGGTGGTGAAAACCAGTGAGGATTGTGAGGCACTCCAAGGGGATCTGTCAAGGATGGGCGAGTGGGCGTCAACATGGCAAATGGGGTTCAATGTGGCCAAGTGCAAGGTGATGCACATTGGAGCCAAAAATCCTAAATATAAATACACATTGATGGGGTCTGAACTGGCAGAGACTGAGCAAGAGAGAGATCTTGGAGTTGTAGTGGATAACTCACTGAAAATGTCGAGACAGTGTGTGACTGCAATAAAGAAGGCCAATGCTATGCTGGGGATTATTAGGAAGGGTATTGAAAACAGATCAGCCAATATAATAATGCCCCTATATAAATCAATGGTGAGACCTCATTTGGAATACTGTGTGCAGTTCTGGTCACCACACCTTAAAAAGGATATTATAGCTTTGGAAAAAGTGCAGAAAAGGGCAACTCGAATGATAAAAGGGTTGGAACACTTTCCCTATGAGGAAAGGTTAAAGCGCTTAGGGCTCTTTAGCTTGGAGAAAAGACGACTGAGGGGTGACATGATCGAGGTTTATAAGATTATGCATGGGAAAGAGCAGGTAGAGAAAGAGGTACTTTTCTCCCTTTCTCACAATACAAGAACTCGTGGGCACTCCATGAAACTGCAGAGCGGTCGGGTTAGAATGGATAAAAGGAAGTACTTCTTCACCCAAAGAGTGATTAACACTTGGAATTCACTGCCACAGGAAGTGGTGGGTGCTACAAGCATGGATGGCTTCAAAAGGGAATTAGATAAGCATATGGAGCAGAGGTCCATCAGTGGCTATTAGCCACAAGGTATAGCTAGGGGCTCTGGGGCAAGATGCTCTGTCTTCTTGGTGCTTGGGGGGGGGGTCAACAGTGGGAGGGCTTCTAATGTCCTGGCCCCACTGCTGGACCTCCTGATGGCACTGGTATTTCTGGCCACTGTGTGACACAGAGTGTTGGACTGGATGGGCCTTTGGCCTGATCCAACATTGGCGTCTCTTATGTTCTTAATCTCTTTTTTGTTTCACTGAACATTGCTGCTTGTTCAACATCATTCCACAGTGAGTAGAGACTTGTTGTTTGCAGCCAGCCACCAATCACAGAACATGGGAGTGACGGTCTTTAATAAAGCACCGAGTAGCAAAGTAATATATAGTATTTACAGTTTTATTTACACTGGAGTATTTACAGTCTTTCCTGAGTCCAATTCGTGGTACTCATGGACAAAGTGCTACGCAGATAACAGATCTCACAGAGGAGATGTTCAGCACTGTACAGCACTACATTTATATGTACAAGGACCAATCATGTTACAGTCATTTACATATTGCCTAGTCATGGTGATTGTGCAGAGTCTGATGCAACCACCATGTCATATGACCACTGGCTGTCATACTTAGATCATCCTGATCTGACATTTACTGTCTATGGCAGACTGACAGCTTGCCAGTATAGGTTTGGATACTGACAGGGAGCTGCACCAGACCCATTGTGAGTGTATCTGGCTCTGCATTTAAATCAATTCTTTGTCCATGGGGTTTTGCCTGCTGGGGGGGGGGGGGGAGAAACCCTCACCATGTTTGTGTAAATGCACTTGCTTTTTGGCAAAGCATGGAGGTGCTTTCTGCATGGATGTTCTAGTATAATGCTTCTTTTCTGTAAATACACTTGCCCCAGATTTTTTTTAAAACAGACATAATCATCATCATCATCATCTTTCAATTTATTGATCACTCAATCCTTGCAGAGCTGCCGGCTCTGAGTGATTTACAGTTACTCATGTGTAGACACGGGACTAACAATGATGGGGGTAAAGGAGGACAACATATATCATTTAAATCACACACTTCGCAGTCGACAGGGAGTTTGGTCAGCTGAAAGAATCAGACATGTCCCGGCAGCATTCTTTAGTCAGCGTCGCTTGATGTCGTCAGCATTCTTCCTGGGCTGCTTTGAATCGTAGTGCCGCACTGCCACCGCCTGGCCAGATTGGCCCATTACAGGCTTCTTAATGCCGAAGAGGTCTTTTTATCAGGCTTCCGAGCTTCCGAGCTGGACATTCCATTCGCCGGCTAACACCTCTCCTACGGGGGTTTAGTGTGCCCACCCTCTCTAAGGAGTGGTACCCATTTTATCTACTCGCCGAAGCTTTCGAACCGTTGGATGGATGGCAAGCTGGGGACACGGCTGGTAGCTCACACCAGTGCGGGGCTCGAACTGACAGCAGTCCTGTTCAGCTCAGATGTTTAACCAGAGGATAAATCCCCTGTGCCACCGCTCAGGGTCAGCACACACATTCACCTGCAACAGAAGAACATCCAGAAGAACATGCAGAAGAAGGGGGGAGCCCATGAAAAAGAAAAAAATGAAAGATGAGTGGAGGAGGAAAAATCACTCCTCTGATTAATCAAGGGTGTGACAATTTATAATATTATGGGGGATATGCTTGGCCACATTGGGCGATACTACTCAAGGTACCTGATTAAAGAGAAACAGAAGACTGTGGGAAACAATCTCAAAGAATGGAATTGAACTAGGACTGGAGAGACCTGGGTTCAAATCCTAATTCACTTTAGTGACCTTCTGTCCATTAATGGCTGGGTGACCTTGGGTCAGTTACAAGCTCTCAGATTTACCCCTCAGAGTTGTTTTGACTATAAAACGGTGGACAGGATAAACAATGCACACCACTCAGAATTCCTTGGAGGAAAAGTAGAATAAAATCAGCCCCGGGCACCATTTTTTAAATGTCTGTGCCTCGTTGTAGTTTAAGAGTGTCCTGGCATTACTTGTGATGTGTGCTGTCCATGCCCTCATGGTTAGGAACGGAGAAGTTGGCAAGAGGGCTGAGTCTGTGCAGGAGCCCCTTTGATAGCCAAGTGTCTTTATGCTCTGTGTCCAGCATAAAGCATGTAGCAAAGTGAAGGCATGTCTTGGGGCATGTGTGCTGGAGGTTCCTCTTCCGTATGTGTCCTGTTTGTGCCCCAAGTGGGGAGTTAGTGTTCAGGTCCCTCATGCCTCCTCAGCTGTTGCATCAATCCCTGCATAGGTGAAATTCTCAAACAAGGCCATGTTCACGTAGGCCTGCCAAAGGAAAGAGAAAATCACATTAGAGGCCACCTCAGTAGGCTGTTTCCCTTCCCTCCTCATCACCAGCATGTGAGTACCTGAGAGTACACTTCACTTTCAACCCTTCCTAGAAAAGACAACAGTGATATTTGGACACAAAGGGGCTGTGCAGTGTGTTGGTACAAGGAGAGAGATGATGGGCCAATTCTCCCCCCCCCTTACATTGAGATCATGCTGAGAGCAAGCTTCATTTCATAGCGCTAGTCATAGCAGCAGGGCTCTGGAGGCGCTGCCTGACAGAGGACCCAACGTCTTGTAATCTCTCAAGGCCACCTGCATCCTGCCTCAGCGAGGGAGGTTGAGGCCTCACAATTGGCAATGTGGCAAGTCTTGACCGAGGGAGTGATAACGATGGCTGGGGTACCCTAGTGGTGATGTTGGGCTGTGTTGTCTTGCCTGGTCTGGCTGTGAACCCTTCTCCTCCCCCACACTTCACAGCACACACTTTAACAACACAGCATATTTGTGCGTGTCCACAGCAGGGCAGGAATACACTGGACAGGGATACCTTCCTGGCTTCCAGCATGCGGACGAGCTGCACTGAGATCTGGGAGAAGGGTGGGCGTTCATAGGGCCGGTCCCGCCAGCACTGACGCATTAGCTCATACCTGCAAGAGGGTGAGAGGGATTAGAACAAAACAAAGATGTGGAGGAATTAGGGATGTTGGTCTGCCAGTCAGCAGCAGTGGGAGACAATTGGGGAGAGACACACATATGTGCATGTATGTGTGTGTTTGGGGGAGGAAAGGGTTTCCACATTACACTTCATCGTCACAGTTGAGGGGCTTTTCCATGCGGTATCCCTGGGGAAGCTTCTCATAGAGCTCAGCACATGTCATGCCACAGTATGGTGTCCCTCCTAGGGAGGAAGAGATCACATTAGACAGGAAACTGTATTTACCAGTATATTAGCATTGGCATGCCCACACAGCACTTTTGGTGCTACTGCACAAAAGCCACAGTATTGAAGTTCTCACCAAACCTGTCCATCTCTGAACATGCAACATGTACCTCTTCACACACATAGTGCAAAGTACAGCCACTGGAAGGGCGAATAGAACACATGGAGTCCAGGGCAAGGATTTCCTCTGTCCTTTGAAGGATAGCAACTCCACTTGGGCGATATCTGCTAACCTTAGGCTTTTGCTTCCCAAAGAGTGGTGATTCTTGCTCTGGCTGGCAGCACTGGAGAGCAGGCACAAGTTTGTCTCTGTTTCCTGAACAGGAGTCATCGTAAGACCCTTTGAATGCCATGCAGAAGTGCCTGCATATTTTTCTATTGCGGGGGAGCTCTGCTGCCCATTTGTGCTACCCAAATGACCCATATACAACCTCCCGATTGAACACTTTCTCTCCTCACCCCACCCCTAATGTAGCTGTTTACCTTTAACATACTTCTAAAGCCCCTTACATGCTTATCTGAGCAAATATTTATTTTATGTTTTAAAAAAGACACCAGCCTTTTTAGACTTGAGAAACTGCTCCAAGGAAGAGGGCGGGTGGCTTCCTTATGGTCACAAACATTGCTCCACCAGCATTATATGCACAGCCCTTTCAGGTCCAATCAGGAAAAACAAGTTTTCCCCAAGATTAGTCTAGGGAAGGAAGTGGTCTTTCTGCCCCAAATGTGGTGAGTACACTTCTGCACTGAGCTGTCTGCTAAAACTATGTACACAGTCTCAGATGCTGCACACCCAGGTCAGAAGAAATGCACAAGAAGTACGGAATGAGATTGGTACCCAAATGTGATACAAGGCAGCATAGGCAACAGAGCCCTAAGTGTTCTCACTGGACAAGAGCTTCAACTTACCCAGGCTGACAATTTCCCACAAGAGGACCCCAAATGACCATCTGCAAGAGAAAATCAGGACACAAGGTGAGGTCCTCTAGCTCATTCAACTCTGCAGTAGAACATGAAAATTCCTTGGAGATTATTTCAGTTCTGATATATTACTGTAACATAGAATGAAAAAGCAAATATTCATTGTAAATTATTCCACATGTCTTTTTTTTTTTGTATGGGCAAATCTATTTAAATGCAGTCGATTGGATCAGCGGGAAATCTTTTCTTTAGGGAGTAGCCTTGGTGATTGCATTTCTTCTGCTTCAGCTAGCCAGCAGAGGACCAAAAGATAACACAGATGCCCCACCTACCAGCTGACCAAGGGAAGAATGGCAAACTGCATCCTTCCATCTGCCTGCTGCCCACAGGACAGGAGGACACTGCCCTTCCCAACCCCACGCAAAAATCACTCACACGTCACTCTTGGTTGTGTATACACTGTAATTCAAGGATTCAATGGCCATCCAGCGAACTGGCAAGCGGCCCTGCGAAAAGAGACAAACCACTGGAAAAGCAGACAGCTTTATGTGGGGGTGCCGAAGAAAAAAAATGAAATGAAACCATGTCCCCATTTCCCAGAACAGATGAGAAAACTGAGGAAAGAACGAAGGGCATTCTAGTTACCACAACTACATTACTATGACCCAGACTCACCATTGTCTTCTTCACATAGACCTCCTCCCCTCGGGACAGGCCAAAGTCAGCAATCTTGGAAGTCAGATTCTCTCCCACCAGGATGTTCCTGGCAGCCAGGTCTCTGTGAATAAACTAGAAGAGAAAAGCAGAGAGAGGCACTGGCAGTGGTAGAGGCTGAGGTGTTCTGTCTACGCTGTGGCTTTAGGAAGTGATACCAAAGAGCCCAGGCTACAGCATCTTGGTGCCTCCTGAGCGACAAAGTTCTCATGAACCCTTTGGCAAAACCTGAACCACTCAAGACACCAAAACCCACTTCACATTCTGCCCTCCCCCTCCCTACTGGGCCAACTTTTTCTACTCCTGACTCAGATTCTTATATTTATCCACGATGCCATTCACTCTGACCAACCCTCCAGTCCAAATACACAGCCCCTCTTACATACAGGCCCTAAAATCCACTCCTCGTTGATGGATTTGCCACTTTATGTACATGGAAAGCATCCCAGGCAGGAAGTGTATACATTGTTTTGCTCTCTCTTTCTCCCACCCTTTGTACAGATGCCCACACAGACTTTCCTTGCTGATTACACAGAAGAGCTGGCGCATCAGGATGGACTGGGACCTTAAAGCCACCCTGGAGCAAGCTGAGCAGAGAACACTTGGCTCCTGACTCCTAATGGCCCTCCAGCTTTCCCAGTCAGTGAAATGTCAGTCTTTCCCTGCATTACATGAGCCCAGACAATTGCAGCAAGATGGAGACAGACATACCTGTTTCTCACTCAAATACTGCATGCCTTTGGCCACATCAGATGCAAACTGCAAGAGTTGCTGGGATGTGAGGGTTGATGCTGTCCCATGCTCCCTGGCAAAAGCAGGATCTGTCTCCAGGACTCGGCTCTTGCGCAGAAAATCCAGCAAGTTCCCATAGGGTGCATATTCTATAGCGATATACAGGTAACCTGGGAGATTGACAGAGATTGTCAGAACACAACACATCAGGGCACTGTCTAATTTTGAAGCACCTTAGTGGAGGGGGGGGGGAAGAATAATGAAATCCGTCGCATAGGAAACTGTGATAATACACCAGATGCTCCTATGCATGAACAGACATTCTAAACAAAAACAGGTTTTGCCAAGCAGGGTGTACGTGTGGGGAGGAAGCAGGCAGGATTACAGAAAACCTGGACCACATTTGTCAGTTTTTACCAGTGGTGTCAGCACTGTGACTCATCTGAAACTGCAGCAAAATGTTTGGGGGGCAAGGACGGAAGAAGCAGGGAAAGAGAAGCAAGCTAGGAAGAAAGAGAGACTTTGCTGTGCTGGTTGGCAAAGGGGCTTACCTTTATTCTCACAGGCCCCCAGCAAGTTTATGATATTGGGATGGTTGCCCAGCTTGCAAAGAACTTCTAGCTCTCCAGCAAAGTCCCGGTGGTCATTCTCGGAGGCAAATTCTGAAACAGAGTTAGCGATGCCAGACCTGCCAGACTAGCATGAGGAGCACAGCAGGGAGCCTCCTCTGAGCACAGCAGTGGACAATATGCTGGCTGTAGCTGGCCAAAGGCTAAACATCCTTTACCCAACGGGAATCTTTACCCTTTTGTGACACAGTCACATGTTATGAGACAGCAAACTCATGACGGCCAGTTGCATGTAAATGTGAAAGGGCAAGGGGATCAACTTCAGCTTTCAAGCATGGTCACGTGGCATCTGCACACATCAGCTCCTGCACACATCAGCTCCACCTCTCCACCGGCCAGCGTAAGAGGGAATTGCCTGGCCACACAGTCTATCCATAAGAACCAGCATGGAAAATTTCACGGTGCTTTGTACTTTTCCCTCTTTTGGAATGGCTCTGTTGTACAAGGGCCGGCAGGGTTTTACCCCACAGATTTGTAATTTCACTGTTGAGAATTCTATGTTAAATATCTCTAGCTCTCTGAGTATAGGATTTCTGGAGGAGAGGAAGGACTTTTAAATCAGTCCTGCCTTGTGAGCAGATATGGAAGGAGAGTCTAGTCGAGTCCATCATTTGTCTGGACAGCTGCCCTGCACACAAAGGAAAGTATGGTGCGTACGCCACTCCGTCCAGACCCCACTACCAAGAGAACAGGGAAGCAGACTGGTCTGTCAATCTCTTGCACACTAGCATGGGAGTATGACTGTTCCTGCACCTATGTCATCATAGTCATAGTGGTCTCAAGTTGGAAGAGGCCTTGTAGGCCATCTCATTCAACTCTAAATACACATCTAGAACATTAAAAAATATACCTGTCCAACCTCTGCTTGAAGACTTTGAACAATGGAGAGCCCCCACCCCAACAATGGGTTACACTGTTGACCTAATCTTACCATTAGGAAATATTTCCTAACGTCCAACTGAAATCTAGTCTCCTGTAACTGAAGTCCATTACATTTACTCTTGTGCAGCATCTCACCCTTCAGCATCTTGATGGCTGCATTCATTCGGAGGCCGTCTTTCTTGATCATGGCCCGGATGACTTGCCCAAAGTTCCCTTCCCCTATCATGTCCTCAAACTTAATGTCTTCCCATTCCAGAATAGGGTAGCTGAGTGGCTCAGGCTGTGGTTTTGGCCGACGCATCAGAGTCAGTGTGCCCGAGTTGAACTGCAGAATGGTCTCTTCCCCCTGTGAGAAGGTTTGTGGAGAGTTTATGGGAAGCATTGTGCACACAGCAGGGAAGGAAGCTCGTAAAATAAGGATGCCCAATGGGTGGGGGGTGGGATTCTTAGGGAAGAAGCTTTTGGAGTTAAGGTCAGAGGAGAGATGGGTCAGGGACAATATCACTCACAGATCCCGACTGGTAGGTGAAAGTGCGACGCCGGTGGAAGAAGTTCTTCTTAATGAGGAAAAGGGCAAGGAGGGCAAAGAGTATTGTCACGCAGGTGACAGAGACAGAACCCACAATGGCTAACAGTAACTGCTGGTCCAGATTGGATGGGGACACATTCTTGCTTTCCAGAGTGGGCACTTGGCTCAGGGCTCCTGCAGGAAAGGTGGAAACAAGATGTTTTGTAGCTGTGCCTGATGCTGTGATGAAGACAGTCCTGTCAAGTACCAAGCACAGCAAAGACATAAGTCATTGCCTTCCACGGGCTCTTTGGCTATTTGCCAGGCCAGCCCAGGGGGATCAGGGCTTCAGATCTGGACTGCTGCAATTTGTTGTTTGCCAGGAGCCAGTTGTACTGGCATGCCGGCCAGCCTGACTACTGGGTGTGCCTGGGGTGTCCTGTAGGGATGATGGTGGCTTATTCATGCCAGCATTCTCCCCACTGCAAAGCATTTCCCCCTTGAATCCTACCCACTAGGACAGCCAACCAAACTTGCCCTGAGTCCACTCACCATCACCTAGAATTGCACCTTTCACAGGCTTGCTCCACTCGCCTGGCACATGAGAATTGGCTCGCACCCGGAATTGGTAGGATGTGCTGGCGTTGAGCCTCGTGATGATCTTTGTAGTCTCCCAGCCGTTGTCTGTGTCCACCCACTGAGGCTCACTGTTACCCCCCAGCTGTTGCACCTCCACAGTGTACTTGATGATGCCACCATTGGGGTACTCGGGAGGTTGCCAGGTGAGCTGGATGTTGCTGTCAGCAAGGGGCTCCATTGAGAGAGACCGTGGGGATGAGGGGCCTGGGGGGGCAAATGGTACAGCTGTTGGAACTGCAATTACCATCCACTCTCCAATTGCTGGGAATGCATGTCATGCCAACTTAGGGCACTTGGGGCCCTTTAAGGCATGGAATAGCCTGTTTGGGAGAGGGCTGATTATAGCAAGGTCACCAAGATACTGGAAAAGTATGAACAGCTGCTGCAGGACAGAGTGCTCAGGGCCCCTGCTCAGCTTCCCAGGGCAACACCCAGAAATCAAGGGCTCATGCTTCCATAGGAGCTTAAATTGTTGCATCTAGAGAGCCAGGAATGTACCATGTCATACAGAAGGAAATAAATTTGGCTTTTTCAGATCAATGGGGCTCAGGAGTGGCTGGCAATCACAGTGCTGTGTATCCTAGGGTCAAGGATCCACCCACCCTAGGGTCAAGGATCCTTCCCACTTTCACCAGAGCACACCCAAAAAGGCACATCTCATCACTCACCTTTGCTATTGATCTTGACCTTGTACAGGTCAGAAGGGGGTCCCAGTCTGGTGCAGTGATAGGCTAGCACCTCCAGGCTGTAGTCCTTGTTGAACTTCAAGTTTGGGATCTTGGCAGATTGTACAATGATGGAAGAGATGTTCTCCTGATGTATGAGCACCATAGCTGAGTCATAGAGCCGAACTAGGAACCCAGTGGCCACATTGTCACTATTGGGTAAATTCCAGTTCACATTAAGCGTATTTCTTCCTTCAACAAAGTAACTTTCAATCACAGGTTTAGCTGTTGGCTCTGTATGAAACAGATAAAGAAGGTCAATTTGACTGATATTATGAGACCATTTCACTTCAGTTTTAATGCAACTTTCAATCAGTTTTAATGCAACTCACAGCTAGACACAATCATTTAGTGTCGACAGTGCTCTAGATGCTGTACAGAATTTGAAAGTGACAATCCCTGCCATGGAAGTCTTACAAAACTAGAAGGCAGAATGCTCTCACTTGCAACTTCAACGATTGCAAAAAGGCATTCTTTTTCATCACCCTCTAATACACTGTGTTTACTCTCTTAGGGTGCAGACAGATAAACCAGAGGTTTCTCTGTTGTGCAGTGAGGTCTGCTTCTCCCTATCTTTATTCCTCTATTGGCTCATCCATCTAGTTCCAACTCCGCTATGGATTTTTGACCCTATCCTAATGCTTTGAGGGAAAATCGCTTTTTAATAAACACGGTTTTCCTCAGGCACACAGCATGTTCATCCATTTATGTTTATTTAGCACCTTTTTTAAAAAAGCCACCCTGTTTAACTGAGCCTTGAAGCATTGCTCTGGATGCCTGGGGGAAGAGTGGTTTTGAGATTGCCACGAAGGCCAGCCAATTAGCTTCCCCTTCCTTTTGTGTCTCTCCCTCAAGTTTCTTAATGGTCTTAATGCTTGAAGAATAATAAATAAATAAAGACCTGGCATTGACAAATTAGTCTCTTCCCCGAATATTCTCAGCCCTGGATATATCATCTCCAGTTGAAAGGAGAGCAAGGCCTAAACCCTGATAGGCTCATACAAGGCCTCCACAAAGAGGGACATTTCCTTCTCTGCACCCTGTAGGCCACAGCTGCTAAGAACAAACGAGAAGGAAGAGACCCCCAACACTACCTGATTCCATGCTCACAGAACCAGCTCTCTGATGTCAGCATTCCTTATTGCCTTCATACAAACACATGCACTCCAAACTATGCAGTACCTTAAGTTGCCAAGTCTGGCTTGGGAAATTCTTGGAGATTTGGGAGTGGAGCCTGGGTTTGGGGAGGGGAGGGACCTCAGTGGGGTATAAGGCCACAGAGTCCAACCTCTAAAGCAGCCATTTCCTCCAGGGGAACTGATCTCTGTAGTCTGGAGATCAGTTTAAATCCTGGGGAATGTCCAGGTCCCACCTGGAGATTGGCAACCCTGCCCTTGGAACATCGGCTACTCACCTTGGCAGTCTGTTACCATGACAGCTGGAGGCCCCATGGCACCTTCTCCTCTGTCCCCAGGGCGTGTTAGCTGAACTTTAACAAGATAGGCGGTGACAGGGCGGAGGTTCATCAGGGTGATATTCTGGATACTGTCAACTGTTGATCAGATTACAGACCCATTAGTGGAGAGTCTCATGCTAGGCTTGTCCACATGTTTCTACTACAGAGAACCACAGGGCAGGACCCTTTGCTTGGGTTTAGTGGGGGATCCAAAGCTCTGTGCTCTTCCCCCCCATCAACTCAAGCCATCACCATTAAGTCAAGTGGGGCTCGAAGGCATGAGATGTTCAGAGGTGGCTTGCCTTCACCTGCCTCTGTGTCACAACCCTCCTATTCCTTGGAGGCCTCCCATCCAAATATTAGCCAGAGCCAACCCTGCTTAGCTTCCAAGGTCTGACGAGATCAGGCTTGCCTGGGCTACCCAGGTCAGGGCCAAAGTTCTCTGCTCTTTGTGCCATACCTAATGTTCTCTTCTCTTGCTTACAACAGGGAAACCTCTGTACCAATGCCTCTCCAGTGCCATGGCTGTCTTTGAAGCCAATTAGCAAATTAGCAAGTGTAATTGAAAACCCTTTTCAACCTTTCTCATGCTGCTGGTGCATATATCTCAAAAATAGAGAGGCAGTTCAAAACATGTTTATACTAGGTTTCTGAAATCACCGATAGCCATGCAAGAAAGATGATCTATACCTTCCTGCTCTTTACTATGCAAATATGCCAGCTGGACCTTGCCATGTAGTGGCACATTCTAGGAGAAGCTGTGCACCTTCACGATCAGTTGAACTGATAATATTTTGCTTCGCTCAGTGGCCTCTCCTGGGACCCTTTCTGTATAGCTGAGAACTGCAGCTATAGCAGGCATAGGCTGGAGAGAGCCCTGCAGTGAGTGCACAGGTATGGAATGAGAGCTCTAGCCAGGTGCATTAAACCCCTTACCTACAATGGATGACCAATGAGATGTGTCATCATTTGGCCTGTAAAGAACCTTGACAGAGATGATAGGCCCATCACCCGAGAAATGTTCCACAGGGGATATCAGAAGCTGCCGACTTTGCTTGGCTAGAAGCCTGGGAGGGCTGAGTGGGACAGGAGGCACTAGGGAAACAACACGACCAATGTTGGAGAACCTTCAAAGAGCAAAGTTGCAAAGGGCATGCAGGTATTCCCTTTGTCTTTTGGGGAAAGGGTTTTGAACCATTAAAACAGATCCACACCACCCATTTGTCATGCAATCACATCTCCAATTGATTTCCAGGTTTCTTAACTTGAAAATTAATACCACATCAAAGAGGTATTACTCACATGTTATCTGGACAGATATCTTAAGAGAGTCACTCAAGAGTTTGGGTCAATGTCTCCTTTTTTTAATCTTACAAACTCTCTATGTGGTGACATTTCAGCCCTGTGCAGCCAAAGATGCTTTCCATTATGATTTTGTATTTCCCAGAAGCAGAGGATGGCACAGCTCAGTCCCCCAAATTTCACCTGACTTGCCTTCTTACCTTTTACAGTGACCTTGAACTTGCCACTGTCCTGCCCGCCTGTGGTAGAGACACGGCATTCCCAGAAGTTACTGTCAGAGAGGACAAGTGGTGGCACCCGAAATTCACAGGTAGTCATGTCCTTTTCCATTATAGCTTTGATGGGCTGGGCAGAAAAGAATAACACAGTGATTTATTTACCAAAAAGAATATCACAGTTATTTCTTGTCCCAGTATCTTACTTTCATGTAATCGTGGGGGGAAATAGTTCCTTGGGGGTACAAAGGGAGGCTAGCCTTATTCCCACTCTTAACAGCACCAACATGCAGAAATATTTAAGGCAGCGAGCAGGACTTGGGTATCCTGGGAATTTGTTGTCCTCATGAACTTATTTAGATAAGCAAAGAGAATGTCTGGGGCTAAATTTCTGTAGTCCAATTGCATTGCTTGACAGTTGCCTCTTGCTACTTGATTACATTGTTTTATACCATTTTATGCCTTAAGTTTCCATGAGAAAGATGGAAAAAATAAAGTAAATAAATAAATAAAATCCCACTTATGGCATAGGACAGCAGAAACTGCTAGGCTGTGTTTCAAGTCTGGGTCAGGACAGTCAAGGCTCCAGAAATGTAAAATCTGTTTCGACTGTTCTGATGTAATAGTGCTTGCATTAGGACAGTTGCTAAGGTCCTGCCCTCTTCCTCCTTCAGCCCTGTCCTTTTTTTTCTATAATGGAGCCTTTCATGTGGGCCTAACATTGTAGGAGATGTAGAACAACAAGAGCAAAGGTTTCAGTTCACCTTTTCCAATGTGTTCACCTTGTCGCTTACTTTTTCTTCTTGCTTTTGTTTAACATGTTCAGGGGTAATAGAAGGGTTGTCATCTCATAATAAATTCAGGGGCTCTTACTTCTTCATGTAGATGCAAGATGGAAGCTTTGGTCACATATTAATAAACACTGACTTTCTTTCCTTGGGAACTGTAGTTCTGCAAGGTGGATTGGAAATGTTTAACAGAGAATTCTCAATACCCTCACCAGACTACAGTTCCCAGGATTCTTTGGAGGAAGCCAGGTTAATTTATTTCTTTAAAATACTTGTACCCTGCCTTGCTCCATAACAATGGAGTTGGCAGCTTACAGCAGCAGAGCCACAGATTCTAAAATATAACAGTAAAATACAAATCCAAAACCAAATGTTGAACTGGTATAAAACTGTAAAAGGTATGAAGTGTAGATGTGTCCTTTGCTGTGTAATGGGAAAGAGGGGAGTGGAATGGAACGATGAAGTTTCTTGTTTACAGAAACAAAGGCAGGCTAAAATATTTAAATATACAAAATATTTTGGCTTGATTCAGACATAATGCAAACCCATGGTTTATTTTAACTGTGATTAGTATGATGTCTGAATGGAGCTTTATGTACTTCCTGTGATCCAGTCACTAGGCTTTCCATGGTCCTCTTATTTATCCTTCCTATGTTTATTTATGAACTTGGGTGGTCCTGCTAACAAGTATCAATAAACATGAGTTAATAACCTTTCAATTGATGAACAGGAAGAAGAGCTCAGAGGCTGAACTGCGGGGGGGGGGGGAATTGCAGAGAAAAGATGATTTAGGTCATAAGCAGATACAGAAGGAGCAGGAAGTCCACACCCAGGACCCTGGAACTAGACAGGGCAAGCCCATAGCTATAGTGGGGCATCTTGGGGCTAGGCCCCCTGACTTACTAGCAAGGCCCCACGACTTCCCATCCAGCCCACGACACCTGAGTGGCGGCAGGTGCAGGGAAAGAACCAGATGTTTCTTTAATTTGATTAGCCAGTGCTCCCTAAGAAGTTTAAATGCCCCCCGACTTTTAAAATGCTGGCTACGGGCCTGGGGCAGGGCCTGGTCTAAGTCATTATGGTGCCTTACCATGAGCACTGTTCCATCAGCCTTGCGCAGTTCGATGCTGTCACGCACAGGGAGCGGGTTGCCTGTTGCCACACAGCTAATTACAGGATGAGAGCCTTGATTAAACTCCAGGTATGAGACCAAGTTGATGATCTGGGGGATCCGGTCTTGGCACAGGACATCATAATAAAAATTAGTTATTGCAATATTAATAACAAAGAATGCTAAAAGGTTCAGTGTGTTTTAGCTCCTAGGGATGCCAGGCTCCAGGTTGGATCTGGGAATCCCCTGGAATTACAGCTCATCTTCAGACTACAGAGATCAGTTCCCCTGGAAAAAATGGTTCTATGGCCTTGTACCCTGTCCTCCCCAGGCTCCATCCCCAAATCTCCAAGAGTTTCCCAACCTGGATCTGGCAACCCTACACTCTCATCCCCTGCCACTGGTCAGGGGCGACCTGGCAACCCTATCTTTATTCTGTTTTCATCTATAGCTGCCCATTAAACAGTGCCTCTGCCTTTTGATATTATGACCAACTGCAGCTATTGCACATGCAGTACATATTCCAAGGTGCATTTACCTGACTTTTCGCAACGCTGTCCATGCCAACCAGATGGGCAACTACAACCACTGAACCGGTTACAAGTACCTCCATTTTGGCAGTGACACTCCAGGGCACAGTCAGGGCCATAGGTCCTATGGTTGCAAGCTGTGGGAAGAATACAAGAAGCCGAGTTCAGCCTGGGAACATGTCTCCAGAGACAGAGTTCATGGGTCTAGAATATCGGACAGATGTCACACATGCTACTTAAAGTGCATTTGAACCTATCTCCTCACCAGAGCGGTCTTGAATGTGCTTGTACCATCACATGCATGAATTTACTATCACCTTTCAACATTTACAAAAATAAGAAGAGCCCTGCCGGTTCAGAGCAGAGGCCCTTCTATAATCCAGCATCCTGTTCTTCCCAACTGACAGGTAGAAACCCCTGGAAGGCCATCTACAAGGAGGGGAGAAAAGCTTCCCAGCAACTGATTACATACATCTTTGGGGCATCTCTTGATTCTAGACCCGGTGGGCCATGATGGCCAGGACACCTGGTTTGGACTCTGGACTCAGTTTAGTCAAGTAACATCTGGATTTAGAAAACCAATGCTTGTAAATGGGCTTAGGTTAGATATTTAGCTTTTATGATTTTATCCTTTCTGTACACTGCTCTTATTTTGTATATTCCTGCACATTCCTTTAATAAACCTTATTTTGTGGTATTTTGGGGCTTTGAATCCAGTACATCAGCTTGATTGGCTACAGCTACCAGAATAATTGTCTTTTGGGATTCGGCTTGCAAGTGTCCTACCTTGCAGGGCTGACTTCTTGATCTTAGACCTGGGAGGGGGGGTTAGTTAAGGAGACTGCTGATAGAACATTACCCTGAGGCTGTGAGGTTTCACCTCAAGGTTTTGTCCTTGACCAGCCGATCAGCAACTAGCATTCAGAGGTATTTATTTTATTTATTTAATTGTATTTATACCCCGCCCTCCCCGCGTGCGGGCTCCATGTTATTGTGTCAACCATGAACAGATGTGTTCTTTCTGAAGATTATATGGAGTCTTCCACCTGCTATTTTTTGGTATAACCCTCTGAAAGTGGCTTTTTCATGTTTTAATTTCTCCCTCCAGGAAGTGCCAGAGAAAGCCTGGTCAGTTATATTGATGCAGATTTCCTTGGCCATCCCTTCTCAGCTTTGCCAATGAAACTGACAAAGGCTGCGGTCAGACTGGCAAGTTGGTGTGGTTTGGGTGCACCACTAATTACTTCATTGCATTTTGTGATAGAGATTTTCAATTAGACTCCCACCCTGATCCAGCCTCACCGCGCACTTCTTCCATGGTTGAACATTCAAATTAGTGCTGTACGTCAACCACGGAGTGTGTGGTCTGGTAACAACTTTGAGTTTTTAAAGAACATTTCTTTGGTATGCATGTGCACACTTGCAAACCAGTTTGAGTGCACACTGGGGACGTTCAGACATCCGGAAACGCAGGATCAATGCATGGAGATCCGTAATGCATGTCTCTGGTGGCTATTTACTCCGTATCCAACTTGTCATACGATGGGGTGACTATGACTGGGGAATGGCTGCCAGATGTGAATGTGTGAATAAGTCCATTTAATCCATTAGGGTAACACAACTATATTAGGCCAAACTGCCCATCTGACTGTAACCAAGGTTGGGGAAACCTCTTGCCACTTTCGCTAATATTAGAGAAAATTCTCCCTGTCCTTTTCTTTCTCCCCATTTAATTGCTGCAGCTTCTCTAGAGAAAGGCATGGAAGTTTGCATTTTTTCTTCAGAGCGGATATCAATTAAAATAACAATATTTTCTTCCAACCCCCTCCCCGACCTAGGGACTATGCAACGGAAGTCGGAGGGGCTGTGGGAGGGGAAGGGGACCAAGAGGAGTTCGTCGGCACCCGACTGGATTTACTTGAGTGAGGTTTTGACCAGGTGCTGCAGATGGTTGAAGACTCTTTTAAGAAGTTACCGGCTATGGTAGCTGGGGCAGTGCAACAGGAAATGCAATGTCGAGGTCCTCCACAGCCGGCACCTCAAGTACAGGCCCAGGTAGTCCCCACGCAAGCCCCGGTACCCGGACAACCATGAACATGGTGCCAGGCCGAGATGTGCATCACCTCACTGAGCCTTTGGATACTACTTTTGATAGTACCCCGGAGAAATTGCCCTTCTTTGTGGTCTGTGCCCAGAAATTCGTGATGAATTGGGGCCACCTGTTTCCGACTGGAGAGCGCTGGGTGGACTATATCACGTCCCGGCTGAGAGATGAGGCAGCAGACTGGTATGTAAATCTGCACAACACTGATGGACCGGAACTCCAGTCAGTGGATGCCTTTATGTGGGCTCTCAGAGCTCAGTGCGAACCGTCAAGCAAGGAAAACTATCGGTTAGAGTGTACAAAGAGGAGTTCAAGCGTCAGGTGGCCAAGATCTGGGGCTGGCCGGATGAGGTCCTGGTGGAACAATATTGACTGGGATTACACCCTGAGGTCAGAGAAATGGTCCTGCATAGTGTTAACCCAGTGTCCCTAAATGCATGGATTTGCGAAGCAGTGGATGTTGAGAGCCGACTGAGGACCATCAAGATGGACAATGCCACTTCTGTGGGTAAGACCATCTTAGCGTCACCGAAGCCTAAAACCCCTCTGCCGAAGAAGGAGGGGGTGAGGGACCAACACATGAAGCAAAGTCTGTGTCTAAAATGCGGCTTGGCGGGCCACTTTGCAGCCTCTTGTCTGGAAGGAGGGAGCCAGGGAGCCATGAAGAAAGCCCTGGAAAAGCGACAGGCAGACACCCCAGTGAAGAAGACATCGTTCAAACCGAAGAGCCAAAAAGCCCTTCAAGCCAGCGTTGCAGAGGCGGATCTGGATTCATCCAGCGAAGAAGAGGATCAGCCAGTGGGAAATGAGGTGGACCTGCACTAAGCGGCGTGGAGCAGCAGGTCCCGAATTCCGAGGCGCCGAAAATGGTGACCGGATATCCTTCCCTCTTTTTTGTAACAGTGACTGTGCAGAACCTGGATCTGGGCACCCATGTTCAGGTACGAGCATTGATAGACTCGGGGTGTGGCCGGGACTTAATAAACCCTTCATTAGTAACGGGGTTAGGGGCGAAAGTAATCTGGCTGGCAGATCCCATTGTATTTACCCAGATGGATGGGTCAGCTATGAAAGAGCCCTGCAAATATGAGACTGTGCCTTTAAGAATGGGGATGGGGCCTCATTTGGAACACAGGACTTTCGTTATCACCTCAGCTGCCTGGTTCCCCATGGTACTAGGAAGCCCGTGGCTCCATGATGATGATCCATACATTCTGTGGGATGAAGGCGTGGTTAAATTCATCTCCCCAAAATGCCAAGCACATGTGTGGGAAGCCCCGTGGGGGGGGCCGCCACCAAACGAACCTCACTGAGTTTGCTTAGCTACTGAGGAATTAAATTCTATCCCCTTAGAGTACCAGGACCTGTCTCGGGTATTTGAAGAAGAGGAAGTGAACAAATTGCCCCCCCATCGACCCTCAGACTGTGCCATTGAATTGATCCCCGACAAAAAATTGCCCAAAGGCAAATTGTATGCAATGAGTCCTCAGGAGAAAGAGGAATTGCATAAGTTCATTGACAAGAATTTGGCGCGAGGTTTCATCGACCTGCATCCTCCCCTTTTGCAGCTTCGGTCTTATTCCGGAAAAAGAAGGAATTGAGGCTGTGCACGGACTATAGGGGCCTGAATGCTGTGTCCACCACCAATGCATACCCTCTACTGCTCATGAAGGACCTCTTAGCAGAAGTGGCAATGGGGAAAATTTTCTCTAAGCTTGATCTCTAGGATGCTTAGTTTCGTGTCCGCATAAAAGCTGGGGACGAATATAAGACTGCGTTTAATACCCTGCTTGGGCAGTTCGAATACAGGGTGATGCCCTTCGGACTTCAAGGAGCCCCTAGGGTCTTCATGAACCTCATTAATGAAGTGTTGCACAAGCACTTGTTCAAGGGAGTGATTGTTTACCTTGATGATATCCTGATCTATTCCCCAAGCTGTCCAAATGTGAGTTTCATTGCTCTGAGATTGACTTCCTGGGCTACCACATTTCACAGAGGGGTCTGGAAATGAATCCTGATAAAGTCAGGGATGTAGTGGGGTGGGAGCCCCCTTGAACCCAGAGGCAACTATTCAGGGGTCATTTGGGGGGGGACGCGGGGGGACGCCATCCCCCCGGGTGAGGTGCGGGAGGGCGGGGCCTGGAGTTCCCTGCTGGTGCCCGCTGGAGGTCGCCACCGGCTGTGGGGAGGAGGCGGGGCGCGCTGCATTGGGCGCGGACGAGCGAGCAGGTTTCCCAGCCGGGTGACGTCAGTGCATTGTGCAGTTTTGGGGGTGGGGAGATTTTCCTCTTGCCAGCCAGCTGGCAGGTGGCAGGCAGGAGCCCATGAAAGGGGGAGATCCCCTGCCTCCACCTTAGGAATGGGAACCCCAGTGATGTCAGGGGGCGTGGCCTTATGACACACTTCCGGTGATGTCAGGGGGTGTGGCATATGCTAATTAGTTATGTTAATGAGTCCCCCTAGCTCTTTTTCTACGAAATGACCCCTGCAACTATTCATGAACTTTTACCGGTCATTTCTCGCAAATTTCGCCCAGGTGAGTTTACTGCTCATGGATTTATTAAAGACCAAGGGGAAGGGACCGGCCAGGGGCTAGATTGAACTGGACTAGCGAATGCCAAGAGGCGTTCGAATGACTCAAAGGCCGAACCAGTGTTAGCCCACCCAAACGAACTCAAAAAGTTTATTGTGCAGGTCAGTGCGTCTGACGTTGCGATGGGGGGGGACGATTCTGCAAGAAGGGGAGGATGGGAGGATGGAAGATTGCATCCCCTTGCATATGTGTCCCGCAAATTTAATGACACTGAGAGGAACTGGTCCGTATGAGACAAGGAGGCGGGGGCTATCAAGTTGGCGCTCTCTACTTGGCACGCCAGCTCATCCTGTCTGGGTTTTCGCTGCTGATCTTGTTGTTTCTTCCAGCTGCACAGATGCCCGGCCTGGGAATCTTAACCGTTTGGGTGCACAGCCGTTTGCTTGCCTGCACGTGCAAAATGTAATCATTGGCTTTTGCTTACGGGGGGGACGTTTGATTTTACTATAAGTCAGTGGCTATCATATTGCAGGTCATTCCTGATACAAGCTGTATACTCGTTCTTTAGCAATGGACTATCATTAAGCCCTTATCTTCTTAAGAATCCTTGGTGTGTGGTGTGATCCTACTAAGGAGCCTGACAGGCGGCTGCAAGACTTAAAGAGCCCTCCAGCTGACTGGTGGGCCACGTGCTGCCGTCAATCAGCTGGAGGGCCCTTTTAATGTCACAGGAGGGGAGGGAGGGGCAGGAGGGGGGGAGAGAGGCAGCAGCTGTTGTGGGGCATGCCTCACATGTGAGTGGGCAGAGCCCTGAAATGCTCCACTGTAGCTATGGGCCTGGCTAGAGATATGCCTCACAGAGATATATCGCAAGGGATGTGGCTAGTGACTTATTTTTTAAAAAATGAAAGCTGAGAATTCAGAGAACCTTCTAAGCCTATTGTTACAATGTTCTAGTGATATATTGATATTTTAGTGCCTTTTTAAAAAAAGAAAAGAAAAAGAAATCACTAGTCTGCAGGGTGGGAGGGGAGGAGGAGAGGAAGTGGTTTGACCGGGACAGTTCAATCATCGTAGAGTGGGCTGGAGGTGGGGGATGGGCAGGGCAAGGAAAACTGACAGAATCTTTATGCACAAGGGAAAACCTGACTCAAAATTGGCTTCCAGAAAAACATCAGGATAAAAGTGGTCTCAAAGGAACCTGCGCGCTCCCCCCCACCCCCCCCCCCCCCAAGTGAAAACTAAAGGTACAAAATTGCATGTGGAAATCAGGGGATAAACCAAAGTAGTATGGGGCCATAACTGATCAGAGAAAAAACCATGTGGAAAAGCCCCTGATTAATGCATCTGATAAAGTGAGCTCTGACTCACAAAAGATTATGCTGGATTAAATTTTGTTAGTCTTTAAGGTGCCACTGGACTTCTGTTTTATCGAAGGCATTGAAAGAATGATAGAAGGACAGGCTAAAAGGATACCTGTCTAATCTGCATCTAAATGCAATATGGAAATCCAGGCAGGGTAAACAGGTGGTTGAATGTATTCTGCTACACAAGCTGCAGTGGGTATGCTGACATTCAAGACAGGAAATGCACAATTTGTGAGTAAGGGAAATGTGTATAAAATGAAGTGGGGTAGATTCCTAAATGACAATTAGTGCTTTAAAATATGTCTGATTTCGTCTTTACAGATTAAGTGTGGGCTGAAAGAGAAGGATAAGATGTAAACAGCCCTATCTGTGTTTCAGGCAAGCATTGACAAGAAGGGATTCCTGTAAGTTTCTCTTTGCTGCAGAGCTTCCTGCTCTCAAGGACCTTCATGTTGGGTCCAAATGGGAGGGAAATGATTCCAAAGAAACAAAGGGAGGAAGCTACTCTCTCAGCCAAGCAGAGAGAGCCCCAGCAGAGAAAGCAACCAAAGCTGCAGGGAAGTACTAAGCAAGGGTGTGTGTCTGAGGTGGAGGAGGGGCTCTGGAGTTTCTTTCTACATACATATTGTCAGGAAGTCATGTGACAAGTAACAACAATGCGAGCTGTAACTATGGAACAGCAAGCTGACATGAAAACTTTGATGTTGTGAGGACTGAAATTTGATTCCCTAAATATTATCCTAAGATTCAAGTTTCCTGACCAGTTCTCCTTACTCAAGGCTTCACCACATTTCACAGAACACTAGAAGAGCTTATTGTTCAATTCTCACTTTACTTTTTTGATACAGAAGAAGCAAAAGTTCATTTTACAACTTCCAGTCGCACATAAGGAAAGTTTTGTTCAGAATGCACTGGCAACTGGCATTTGAGGCACATTCCAGTCTTCGGACATTTCCCTTGATAACAGTAGACTTTAACTTTCTCCAGTCCAAGGGCACTTAAACAAAATGTGGATTTGACGTGATAAATATCTCTTATACTGTGATAGTCAGATCCCAGCTACTATCACTGTATTTTTACAGGCTGTACCCTGTTGCCCCTTTGCATCCATTTGAGCTGCTTGAGGCTTCAGCTGATTAAGAAATTGTATGATGGGCATCTGGATAATGAGTCACACAGTCTTTGTAAAGCTAGGCATGGTTACTAGTATAAGAATCTTATGGTCTGGCTGCACCCCCCAATATTCAAGCAAGTTTGTTTTGATGTTACCAAATATTATAAGGAGAAAGAAACAAGGATGTGCTTTGGTCCTGTGGATCAGAAGACAAAGTTCCCCATGCTGTTCTCTTTCTGAGCAGGCAAGCTTCTTCACACACACACACCCATCTCATCTAGAACTGTAATGCACCAAAGTGTCATAGCCCTAGAAGGCTGAACAGAAGATGGAAAATGTAGTCAGACATACCTGAACCACACTGGGGACCACTCCATCCAGCAGCACAGGAACAGCCATACGGGTCAGGTAGGCAGAAGGCCAGCCCCCTGCAGCCCTGCTCACCTGGACATTGTTTCCGGCAGTTCCGCCCAAACCAGCCTTCCTTACAAACTGAAAGGCAAGAAGATGCCTGTCAGGGATCTGCATCCACTACAGACATTACTAACTCGTACACTCTTATGTCCTGCTCCTTCAGCCTTATATAGTTGATATCAACACCTGTCTCCAAATGTGTTATTTCCCTTTGCTTTGATCTTTGGGTTCAAATCCAAGCCCAAGCCCAAGCCCCTGTTCTCCAATTGTTCTTTTGGCATAGTTCCAGGCCATGGGACTTCATGGTCTTTTACCCACTTCTAGTTGCTTAGAGATGCCTGCCTAGATCTGAGGAGTTTTCTCCATAGTGCATGTCTCTTTCCTAGCCAAGGGGAAGTAGAGAGGAAAGTTGTGCCTGTTCCATTTACTGGAAAGCTTTGAAGACAGCACACCAGCAGCATTCTTTTCAATGTGGAACAGGGGTGGTACAAGTAAAGCAGAAGGGAAGCTAGTATTTTTCCTGTCCTTAAAGTCACATCTGCATGAAAGTTTTGAAAGGGATCTGAATTGTACCTGAATCCTGTGGTACACATGGACAGAAGTTCTTGTATTGTGCTGGCCCCTTTCCATTCTTGGCAGCCCACATAACAAAAAAAGTTTCAGCCAGGTATCAGCATTGGCCATACAATTTACATGTCTGGATTTCCAGTTTCAAAGCAAAATCAATGCTCTTTGTATGCATTTTACATGATTCCAGTCCAGTGCTAAATGGGTAGCATGGATAATGGCTGTGAAGGCACGCTCTAGAGGTAAACTGTTCCTGGGACATATATGAAAGGGGAGTATGATGTGCTTGCATCTCATAAGGTGTGGGTCCAATATGGGAGCATGGAAATCAGAAGAATAAGGGGGTGATATGGACTTCATATGATGTTGATGGATAAACAGAGCCTTGGATCCAGCATACAGTTAGGTTCCATTACTGAAGAAGCACGAGGCAGTTGCAGCTACTCTTTGTGAAAACCAGCACATTCACAGCCTTCAGCCATGGAGCAAAAATATAGTTTCTCAACCAATTCAGCATTGTGGTACTTCTAACCTTTTTCACAGCGGGTACCCATGAAACCTGGTGGGCAGATGCATTCTCCCACAACATGGTGGCATATTCCTCCATTCAGGCAGTCGGAACAGTCCTTGTCACAAAGGACACCCCATTTCTTTGCAGCACAACCTGTAAGAGACAGAGACAGAAGTCCTCAGTCAGCAACGGGGAGCAAAGATAACAGTGCAGTCATCAGGTTGGATCCTATCGAAGATTTCTGCCTGCACAACAGTTTGCAGAAGTGTTAAAAGTATTCCTCAGTCTCTGGTTGCACTAAATGAAAGTGGTTGTATGTACCCCCACTATCTTTTCCACATGCACAAGACATAGCACAAGGCATTTATTCTGATGTAATTTCCAAACCACATTAAATGAAGTCATGTGAACAATCTACTGTATGTCCCAGTTGCATAGTTATTTCATTAAAAATGATACTAAAATGCTATGTATTGCTGCATTATTGCACTAAGTACATTTTCCATTATATATCCTAATAACAGTTTCTAAGAGCTGTAAGATTTGGGGTGTTTTTAAGTTCACACAGTCGTGTTTATCACTGGGGTGGGAAAAAATGTCCAGCTGAGGAAGCAGCAGCAACAGGGATGGTGTTCCACATGCCCTGTCCCCAAGCTGCTTACCACTGTCCCTGCCCCCAAACTCACACAATCCCTCCATCTTATCAGTGCAGAAACACTGACAGCCAACAATTATACTGCTCCCCAGGGCCTAGTAACTCCCCTTGCCTACTTCACATCTAAGCTGCTGTGCTGAAAGCACCACAGCTCATCTGGGAGGGGAATGGTCCATTAAAGGGCTTAAGGGGAGGGATATAGAGCTTAACTCCATCACATGAAGCTGCCTTATACTGAATCAGTCCTTTTGACCCATCAAGATCAGTATTGTCCACTCAGACTGGCAGCTGCTCTCCAGGGTCTTAGGTAGAGGGATTCAGCCTGGGACCTTCTGCATAACAAGCTGATGTTCTACCACTCAGCCACAGCCTGAACTTAGCTCCATCCCCTCCCCGGATTGGCCGTGGGAAGAGTATCTGCACAAACACATCCACCCACAGCCACCCTGGAGTTCCCCTTTGAGATGGAGCAAAGGGGGTGTCTTTGTACAGATCTGTGTATAGGATTGTCTGTGGTTTTTAAGTACTAATTAGCAGTCCCAGGTGGCTGCTTTGGAAAAGAGTGAATTTGGGAAGATGAGATTTAACCTTTTCCTCCCAGGCCACCCTTATGTTTTAAATCAGTGATGAAAGTCCCATAAGAAATGTTGTGTTTAGGTTCCCTAGTGAGTAACTGTATTCTATATTCCTTTAAATAAAAATGTATTTATTATGAAACTTTAAATACTCTTTTTTGTTGTCTTAGTTCTATGCATATATATTATATATAAATTCCATCCATTCATAAGCTCAAAGTGATTAACAAAAAACATTCTAAGCACATCTCCAATTACAAAGCTCTAAAGTATAATATATCAACATCCCCAATTACAAACCTTCAAAGCATAATCCAACAATTCCTCAATATACAGTATACTTTTGCACTTAGTATTATCCTCTGAAGTCAGACAACAGTCCCTCTAGAACAAAACAGTCCACTAAGTTTCTCATGGCCTGTGTTATTTTCCTTCTTCACAACAGTCCCTCTAGGTGTCAAACTCATTTGTTATGAGGCTGGATCTGACATAAATGCCACTTTGCGTGGGCCATGTGTGCCATAAAACATAATGCCAGGTACCAGAGAAAGAAACTGTATAAAGCACAGCAGCTGGTAAGCTCCAAGTTGGTGTATCCTCACTGCAAGGCTCCATGGGCTGGGAGAGGGGTGGAGGAAAACCCACCTAGGCGGACTGGAGAGCCCGCAGTGCAGCTCTGGGCAGATGCTCCCACGATGCTTGACTGCTGTAGACAAGGTTGTTCTGCTGTGCTGAAGCCACAATAGAGTGGCTCAGCCCACTCCCCCCAGCACTTCCTCCCTTGTATCCGTAGCTCACGGGCCGCATAAGAGCCCTGGACAGGCCTGATCTGGCCCCCGGGCCTTATGTTTGACACCCCTGCTCTAGAACAAAACAGTCCACTAAGGATGCAATCACCCACACTAAGTAACCCACTTTCAATGCACTTTCGAATTGGATTTTGCCAGTTCACTCAGTAAAATCCAGTTGGAAAGTGCATTGAAAGTAGATTGGAGGTGGATTATTTAGTGTGTGTGATCGCAGCCTGAGTGAGAGGACCTACACCAACCATTTGAATGTATGGAGAAGGAAAATAACACAGACCACGAGAAACTTAGTGAATTGATTTAATTAATTGATTAAATTGAATTAATATGAATAGATAGTCACAGAACTAAATAGGCAGCAAAAAAGAATATTTAAAGTTTCATAATAAATATATTTTACAAGAAGCAGGACCCACGATACTCGCGGGGGGGGGGAGTATTCCCAAGGGCTCCAGGCCTCCAGAAGCAGCTCCCCATTCAAGAGGAGGAAGCGGCCACAGGTAAGCCTTTTCCCACCCTCCCCCCCGGCACTGAGGCCTGAGTGGCTCTTAACTGCTGGGCCCGCCGAGCCTTTTCTCACCACCCCGGCACCAGTGATGCTATGAGAAGAAGTCAGAGGCAGAGGGCTGCTGGAGGGAGAGATTCAAGGGTGACTCTTTGCCGGCTTGGAGAAACTCGCATCCTGCCAGGGGAGAGAGAGAGACGTGGCGGCAGCGGCGGCTGCCACCACCACTAGCCTGTTTCCCGGCTGGCTCACTGAGCAACAAAAGGATTTTTAAAATGCTGGAGCGCCACTTTCAGCATTGACAGGTTTCTTGCGTGGCTTGAGTGGGAAACTGGGACGGAGGAGGTGATGTGGCCAGCATCTTTGGGGAATATGTCATCGCCGGGCCCACTGGGCCTTCTTGCCCCCCCCCAGCAGCGAGGCCTGAGCAGCCCCCAGCCGCCAGCCAACCAAGCCTCCCCCCCCAACAGCAGTGAGGCAGTTCCCAGAGCATTCTCTGCACATGCGTAGGGAACATTCTTTTACTTTTGGGGGGATTTAAGTATCCCCCATGTAGTTTTCTAAACTTTTCAGATTTTTCTGCACACCTGGGGACTGTTCCAAGTGTGCAGGAAAATTTCTCTGCCCCCTATGTGCCCCGATGTGCAGATTTAGATATTCGCACAGAGGGGGGCCTCTTGGCTATTAGTATATAGACAAGGAGCGGCAACCTGCGATACTTGTTGGGGGACGGAGCTCCACACAGAGGAGGAAGCCACTGCAGGTAAGCCTTCTCCCCCATCCCTGCCTGGCCCCGATGGCGAGGCCCGTGCAGGTCCAAGTCGCCGGGCCTGGCAAAGTTCCCCCCCGGCAACAGCGGTGAGGCCTGTGCAGCTCCAAGCCGCTGGGCCCGCCAAACCTCCTTCCCCCGCCACGGCAAAGGTGGCGAGGCCTGAGCTCGGCCTGCCAAGCCTTCTCCCTCCCCCTCCCCTAGTGGCGTCGGGGCCTGGCTGGCCCACCAAGCTCCCCCCTCACAGCAGCGGTGAGGGCTGAGCGGCTTACAGCCGCCGGCCCACCAAGCCTTCGACCTCCCCTGTCCAAGCGGCGGTGAGGCAGTTCTCAGAGCGTTCTCTGCGCATGTGCAGGGAACACTCTTTTACTTTTGGGAGGATTTAAGTATCCCCCTATTTTTTCAACTTAGATTTTTCTGCACATCTGGGGATTGCCCCAAATGTGCAGGAAAATTTCCCTGCCCCCCAAGTGCCACCGATGTGCGGGTTTAGATATCCGCACAGAGGGGGCAACTTGGCTATTAGATAGATAGATTTAAAGGAATACAGAATATAGTTACTCACTAGGGAGCCTAAAACACAGCTTTTCTCATTGAACTTTGATCTAGTAGCTGTGAGTCTTTTACTTTCATTCTGTTAAATCAGTGATACTCACTCTGCGGCCTGCAGTGAGCCACATCCATAATTACCATCAGCCGAAACAGCCACAACTAATGTGTGCTCTCTGTACCCTCTCAGACAAACATAAACAATATTATGTAACTATAATATAACAGTTTTAATTAACAGAGTACCTCTGGCCAGGTAGGACTGTCTCTCCCTAACCACTGCTGAAAGCCAGCCTTTGTGTATCTGGAGGGAGGGGAAGGGATTGCAAGTAAGGCTTATGACACACAGCAGTGTGCAAGCTTTCAAGTTCTCCAGAACTCTTTGTTAGGCAAGATGTTAAAAGAAGTCTCCCTATGTTAAAATTCCCTTCAAATTGAACGCTAGTATTGCAGGAGATGTGGTGGTTGGAACCTCTCCCTGCGCTAAGGTTTCTACTTGCAAGGAGCATTATTTTGTGAGGTGGCATTCAGCAGTAGTATGCCTTATTGCGCCCCCTCATTCAGATGCATATGTTCATATGGCTACATACCTCTATGGGTCAGGTTACAATGACATTTAGTGCGGTATTCGCTGCTGATCCCTTGCGCATTAAAGTTTCCTGTTCATATTGGCAAACCCACCTCCCGCACCAAAGCGGGTTTAGTCCCGCGGTTTCTGGTCTTTTTATCTGCGTTTTCTGACACCCGTTGGAACAGGTGTTTTCCTTGTACTCGCACTTTGAACGCGCGATTTTGCCTATCTGGACAGCCATTGATCGCAATGGTTGCGATTGGGGCCGTCTGACCGTTTCCCCCCACAATGAGATTCCCCCCTCCCCCAGGCTTCTGCCTGAGCCGGGCGGATGAGCAAAGTCCTCTGCAAGGTGCTCCGGGTGACAACAGCAGCTGCTGCGGCAGGCTTTGGAAGGGAGGGAAGGTGGAAGAGGAGGTGGTGGCGGCGCAGGGAGCACGAGGCAGCGGTTTCGTGCGCCCTTGGGTTTGGCAGCGGCTGCGGGGGGGGGAGGGCTTCTGTGGAGCGGACCCTGCTGGGATCTCAGGGCCGTTGGTCTTCGCCAGGCTTTCTCCCTGCTGGGAGAGATTCAGGAAGTGCCGCTGAGTCCTCAAGCTGTCTCCTGGACCGCCCGGGTGGGCTGGCAGGCAAGCGGGCAGGCGGGCGGAGAGAGGGGAAGGATTTTCAAGCGAGCGGGTGATGGAAGAGAGGGGCCGCCTGCATCTAATAAGCCCATCCTGAAGAAAAATATTCCCGATTAAATTAAAGTGGGAACAAAGCGGAATTACTGTGCCCGTGTGACCACAGCCTATGTCTCTACAACAGGGCTTCCACATGGCAGATTCCCCTGAATTTTCCCTGACCCAATCCTCTGGCATTGCCCCCACCATCACCCAGGGTTTTTCCAGTTTTTGCTTTGTTTTGTTTTATTAATATGGCAATTGACATATCATTATAGCATTAGAACATTATAACAATCTATTATAATTGAAGTTCTCTGAATTCCTAGCTTTAATTTTTTTAAACAAATGCCTTTCCCCTTATATCGCAGCAACAGACAGGGATAGAGATTTACTTTAAAAAATGAAAGCTGGGAATTCAGAAAGCCTGTTGCATAGATTTTTCTAATGTTCTATTGATATAACAATAAAAAAAACAACAACACAACATGGCAGGAGAAATGGTTGCCACATGAGACTGGGGCAGGTAAAATGGCAATGATGCGGGTAAGACCAGGGACATCCAGACATTCCTGTCCTCATTAGTGCCACCCAGCTTTGCTGCAGCGTCCCCCAAAATATCACAAGTATGCAGGTTTGGGAATTATCACAGAAAAGATGAGGAAAACCCAGGAGGAGGTGCACTGAAGCACCACGATGCTGTGGGAAAGTGGGAGGGGAAATGCTTCCCAATAACATCCAAACTGGGGCAACACTACCTATGTATAAATCTGAGTTCTGACTTTGAGAGGCATGTTTTAATTCAAGGAAGGGGCAGGGGAGGTGTGAGGACCCCACCCCGTCCTCCAGCTGAAACCCCTTAGAAGCGTGATGACATCACCTCTGGGTCATTGAGGGCATGGACGCTTTGTGCGCAGCCCAACAGACCCCGGGAACCATGCTGGAGCCCCCCCCCCCAACCAGGACACAGGTAAGACCTGGCAACGCTATGGGTAGCAGAGGGAAGAGTTAAATAAATACCCTGTCAGTCAGTGACTCTTCCCTGTCTTCAGAGCAACCCTTTGGAGCTACTGATTAGCCTTTAGCTCTTTGATGTCTCAACTGGTTTGGCCCTATGAATTCCAAAAGAGTAGATGGTTAGCCTGTTGCAATCACACAGAGTTTCTTATGGCACGTTGCCTTATTCACACAAAAGGGTGACTGTACCAATTGGGAAGATTGTGGGTGGCTCACTCTCTCCCTAAGGAAGATTTGAGTGCCAAAGTCATAACAACTGAACAGGGCAGCAGATTGTGGTGCTAGAGCAGGAAAAACTGCAGCTGCTGACAATACCTCTTCCATGCAACTATTTAAAGGTACAAGAACCCTTTTACTTCTAATGACTCAAGAAAGGGATTGCACACACAGCATAACAGGGCTTGGAGAAGTTGTACACCATCTCACCTCGCACAATTAGCCTGTAGGAAGCACTTGACAAGGGACTGTCCCCCATGAATGAGGCACTGTATACCCCACCATCAGCCACTCTCACAGATGGCAGAGACAGAGTGAATTGGTTCCCCTTCACTTCACATTTGTCTGTGGTCTGATAGAAGGAGCCTGCACAGAGAGAAGGTGAAAAAAGCATGAGAATTAGAAAACCTAGCTCTGAGTTGGGTTAGAGAGTGTAACAAGCTTGAGGAAGTACAGCATGTACAGCTTGATGCCCAAACAACCAATCTTTTTGCCATTGGGAGATTGGTTAGACCAGAGGAAGACCTGAGAAAGTACAAAGCACCACTGCCAAGCCACAAGACAGGGCTAGGTATACATGACAGACATAAATAGAAGACTAATAGATCCAGAAGACGATTGTGTTCCTACATCATCACAGAGAGATGTGTTCCAAGTGGAACCCTAGAGGGCCAGATTTCTGGACCACATCTCACCAGGGCCATGCAGCTGAGAGGAGAATACTTACCATTCCTTTTCCACAAAATATCAGTGTTCTTTTCATGCTTTATCTTGGCAACAAGCTCAGCTGACTGGAAGAGGCTGACTGTCTGCGTTGCCTTTTCTGGGACCAGGTTGGCTGCAGAATCACACAAAAATAGGGTTAGACAGCAGGGCCTCCAAAGTATTTTCTTCTTTTCTTGGTTGGGGAGGGGAGAGACTCTTATCTGACATCTGCTTCTGAGTTTTTCAGCACTTACTGGAGCATCTCATGCTGTCTACTATACTCACAAATGTCCACACATACAGTAAAGGGAGGGGAGAGAATGCAATAATGGATTTGCTTACTGTTCATAATGCTCTCTTTTATAGGTGACGTGAAAATAGATATGCTTTATTTACCCGTGGGTCAAACATGGCATTTATAATTGTGTATTAGACTTAGAGGTAAAATTATTCTGTGGCTTGTTCCTGGTTTTGTCTTTTGTCAAACTCTACATCTTACACAAAAAGCTTTGGGGAGGTCAATATCTGCAATGGAGCTTGGATTTCCACTGTTCTGTCTCATCAGATCAATGCCCATATATCTCAAAGGTTTCCATGAAGAAATTCTCTGCATTTTTCAGTTACTCTTCTTGACTTCTCACTTGCTGAGACTACTTGATTCATGGCTCTCTTCCTTACTCCCCAAATGTCAATAATGAATGACCCTTTAGTATTCCAAAACTGGTCTTTGCAGAAGTCCTTCTAATGTCAGGAGGAAATGTGCTTCTGTATCTCCATAGGTGCATACACATACCTGTATGCTAAATAACACAATAAACTTTCCTGAGTTCAGAAAATGCTGTTGAGAAGAGGGAAAAGCCAGGAAGATCAGTGGCTTCTACTGACAGATCATGGGATCCAACCCATTATATAGTATTTATTTATTTAAAACATATTCTCCCTTTCCACCCAATATAGGGCCTCTAAGTGGCAAACAATCAAAACATTAAAAAGTTTTTAAAACAAATGCATATCTATAAAACCATTTAATAAAACGTGTAAACATATGAATACAGGCACATAAACAGAAAGGAGGGCCACTGAAGGTTCATGAGATAAAACAGAAAGTCTTCACCTGCTGGTGGAAGACAGTGATAAAGGGGGACAGATTGATCTCCCTGGGGAGGGAATTCCACAGTTTTGGTGTCACAACTGAGAAGGACCTTTCTCGGGTGACCACTTGTTTAGCCTCAGATGGCAGGACCACTTGAAGCACAGCCCGTGATGACAACTGAAGTGCTCGGGTGGGTCCATTAGGTTTCCCTGTTTGCTGCATTGCTATATCTCCTAATCTATCTGAAATCTACATGCTTATTTGATCCTGCGAATTATGGAAAATAAGGCTTACCGCTGGTTAGAAATGAAAATGCTGTAAGCTCTTGATCACACATGATGTCCATTGTCTTTTAAAAAGAGATGTTTGGAATAATTCAAGGGTGAATGTCTAACAAATTTATTTATTTTATTAATTAAAGCATTTATTAGTTGCCTTTCTTCTGTATGGAGCTCAAGGCATCTTACAAAATAAATAGAATATATTAAAGCACTGTACATAAAAATACATAAAACCAAAATTTAAAATCACAGTTTAAGACTGCTTTAGTCAAATTCAGTCTTAAATAAAACCGTCTTCAGCTGCCTCCTAAAGATTGGAAGTGAGGGGGCCAGGAGTACCTCCCTGGGGAGGCTGTTCCATAATCGTGGGGCTGTCACTGAAAAGGCCCTCTCTAATGTCCTCACCCAAACAAGCTTCTTTGATTGTTGGGGCAGTCAGGAGGGCCTCTCCCTGTGATCTTAATCCCCAGCAGGAACATACGTCAGAAGATGATCCTTCAGATACCCAGTCCAAAGCCATGTAGGGCTTTAAAGGTCAAAACCAACACTTTGAATTGGGTTCAGGAGTGGACTGGTAGCCAGTGTAATTGTTGTAGTATTGGGTCACATGCTCCTGATAGCTGGCCCTGACCAGCAGTCCAACTGCGGCATTCTGCATTAGGTGCAGCTTCCAAACACTCTTCAATGGTAGCCCCAAACAGCATTGCAATAGTCCATTCTAGATGTAACTAAGGCATGGATCACTGACTAGATCTAATTAACTCAGGAATGGACACGGCTGACACATCAGCTGGGCAAAAGCTGAAGCTTCTGAGCTAGACATGTTTAAACCCTTTGAATCCAACCGACCTAAACGTATCTAGCTCTGTAATGGGCTGTGGCCTTTTAAAAAATTGATTGCTAGCTGATCAGATGCTATCTATGCTGCACTGTTGATACTGACATCAGAAGGCAAGATTTGTTTTTGAGCAGGATTTTTGGAGCTTGGCTGTATACGGCCTTATAATTTCCACACTATGGTAATGATATTTTGTGACTTTGTTTAGCAGCTGCATTGTGTTTATTTTTCTTCTTCTCTGAGCTTGTTAGTCTATTTTCTGGTATACAAGTTGTTCTAGGACTATTTTTCATATTACTAACTGTCTATAGTTAATGGATATTCCGACGGATGTTGGATAGCCTAAAAACTTAAGGTTCAAGGGAAGTAGAGATGCTTCCTGCCAGAGTAATTCCCTTGCATAACTGTGGAGTATGTCTACCTCCCTGGATATTAATCATCAGATGAGCCCAGGATTAAGGGACGAGAAGGGATTAAAGATTATTAATACTTGGTTTCCCTTGTTTCTTCTTGTAGTGCATAAACAGGAAATCCCAGACACTGTCTGGGGGAAGTAGAGAGAGAACGCCACAATTAGTATTGGTTCTGTTGTAATCAGATAATGGAAGAAATGTTGTAAAGCATTTACTTCAAATTATACATTCATCTTCTCACTAAGAAAACAGAGATTTCTGCACTTAGGTACCAAAAATCCGTATATCTTCCAGTGTGCCATGTGAGAATCTCACTTTTATGCTTACCGTTCATGTTGTTGTGCACATACACTACCCTGGTTTGTTCTGCCGGGGTCTGTCCCAAGCAGTACGTGATGCCCACCAGGTCTGCACGGGAGAAGCCGCGCATCTGCACCTCGTTGCTGCTGTTCTTGTAGATCTGGAACTTGGACTTGGGTGGGGTCATGACAATTCTATTGTCTCTCTCAAGAAGGAGGCTCACATTCTGCTCACTGGTCACACAGGAGAGGTAGAAGCTGGTGTGCGAGGGGCTCAGGACATTGGCTATCAAGGTTATATCCAGAATTGCTCCTGCATCAGAAGAACAATAGAAGAGGCCATTTGGTGGACAGGGAGAGTTAATAATATCAGCATATTTCACATCCAGCAAACTCTGACTGGGCTTCAAAATCTAGTCCAAACTCTACCATAAAACAGAAAGACAATTTGTCTTCACTTAGAAGTGTGGCAGATTCCTACGAATGGCCTGTAAGCACTGTATATGTATATATATATATATATATAGACACAGACACACATACTGTCACCAAAGATGACAGGGACAGGCAGAGAAAACATTTTTTTTTTTAAGTTACTACCCATTCTCCTCCATATCCTTGTCTGAGAGAAAACTCTGTTGACTCAACAAGACTTACACCAGAGCAAGTATGTGAAGAATTGCAAGCACCCAGCCCACTGTTATCACTCATAAATAGGCACTGTATGGTGTTTCCTCTGTGTCGGTGTTTCCCTAGCAAAATAGGAAATTCTTTATCTAACACGTTAAAACCCAATATTATTCTTCTCTCTCGAGACACATACAATAGAGTTCAGAAAACAACTAATCCACCAGTTAAAACATTTGTCCTTCCGTTTTTTGGGAAGGAACTGGGGAATATTTTTAATGCCTTGAAAAAGCATACTTTAAATGGTCTAGGAACCTTCAGCAGTGGTCAAATTCCTTATGAACACAGGTATATACACATATATTGAAATAGACATGTGTGACCACCACACGTGATGACAGGCTACATGGGAGTTGTACAATACCTCCTACATGGAAACTCTTTCCAGATCTGAGAATGATATTGCTACTAGGAGACTGGACAGGTTCTGGAATACCAGCATCACATTTGTAGTGATTGCAGGATCCTAAGAGCCTGCAATTTTAAAATTCACTTTTTAAAAGTTTGACCAAAGATGACAGAGAGAAAGACAGACAACGGAAATAAATGTATACAGCAAGACCAAAAGGCTGGCATCAGCATACCCTGAGGTGGGGCGGTTGCCAGGGAGAACGGCGTCCAGCAGGGCCCACTGCTGATGACTGTCTGTTTATGCATCTCCTCTGATGCCTGCACTCACACCCTTCTATTACCTGCTTGTGAGTGGTTTGTCACCTGTGCTCCCAGCTGCATCTGTTGCCTAGTGCTGCTGGAGTGGTGCACAAAGCATCAGTGTTCCTGATGGCCATGGCAGTCCTAGCTGCACCCACCAGCCAGAGCCATCAGAGAAAGGGTATGCAGACAAAGTAGGTGGCTGTGGCTGCAGGTGGTGGGAGAGGTTGTGAGTGAAGGATGCACAGGCAGGAGGGGCATGTGAGTGGGTGAGTGGGGGTGGGGGGAGCCTGGACCTTCTCTGCCCAGAGCCCCTCGAAGCCTGGAACCAGCCCTTGCAATCAATGCTCCCTCTAAGCTGTGGAGTCTTGTGAGCAAAACTTCTACTTTGTGAGCTACTGGCGTTAAAGTTGTGAGCGAGCGATTTGGTTGCTGCATAAATTAGTTTGCTCTGGAGCCATCCTTCCTGAGCAAAGACAGAAATGTGTGAGCCGGAGGCTGAAAAACTATGAGCTAGCTCACACTAACTCAGCTTAGAGGGAACACTGCTCGCAAATATTGTAACATTTTCAGTTCCTTCGGTAGCTGCTTTCAACCATATTTTGTCAGCTCTCCATTCTTTCTAACACCCAAATGTTTGCATCACAAATGGTGTTCAGAACTACTTGCAAAAGGCTATTCTTGAGGGACACTGCTGAGAGCATTTATTTAGGACCAGAGGACATGGATCTAAGTCTCATGACTGGAACTCTGGATGTGAAATTTGGCCCTTAAAAGCAGCTGGGGGGTCCAAATTGGAAATATGGGGCTTGGGAAGGGGGTTAGTCCTCTCCGTGCCATCATAATTGTAATACCCCCATATAGGGGTCATTTCGTAGAAAAAGAGGTGCAGGAGCTCATTAGCACAACTCATTAGCATAACTTATTTGCATATGCCGCACACCCTGACATCACTGGAAGTGTGTCAGAAGGCAACACCCACCACTCAGGCTCCACTGGACTGTTTTGGATTGCTAGCTATTGGGGGGGGGGGACAGAACGTGCAGATCTTTCCTCACAGAGATGGAGAGCTTGTACCTGAATAAAACTTGGTCTTAAAGGTGCCACTGGACTGTTTTGGACTGGGGAGCTGGGGGGGGGGCGCTCTGCAACTTACCTGACTGCTTCTTGCTCTGACTGAGGGCTGCTGGGAGCAGGGGGTGGGGCTTGTTGCATGTGCCCGCCCCCTGGGCTCTTTACTGCCAGAGCTCAGCTCCTGTGCGCTCCTGCAGGAAATGACCCCTGCCCCCCCACAATGCTTTAAGACATGGTAAAATACAGGCACCGTATGACTCCAGAGGAGTGGCTGGGTTAGTCTGATCCAGTAAAAATAAACCAGAGTTGTGGCACCTTAAATACTAACAGAATACTATTCCAGCATATGCTTTTGTAGAGTTCATTTCTTGAGATGCTGTGAGGGACCCTCACTGCACAGGCATTTTATGAAGCAGAGTTAAGAACAACTGACAAACTTTCAAGTCAAGTGGCCGTGAAATGCAGGAAGTATTAAATGAAATGGAAGCATGTAAAGTTCACATCTAACTGGGGGGAAAAACAGAGAATATTCACTACTTATGTGAAACTGGTTAACACCTGTAATGGGTGGAATGTGACCGTTTTTTAAAAGATAAAATACAGTTACAGAAAGATAAAAAATCTAAGTCATATTTAAACCCAGTGAAAAGGTAGTCATGTCTCAATTCAACCATGTCACGCTGGAATCTCCCTCTGAAGTTCTTGTCATTAAAAGGTTATGGAAACTTTATAGTCAGAAAGAGATGTTCTTCCACTGGTTTCTGGGCACTAAGATTTTTTGATGTCAGATTTTTTTTCTTACTATAACTCCAGGACTAAGCCAAGCATGCCTGAGCAACTAGTGACTAGTGCTGCATGTGAACATAGAGGAAGGCAGTATAACAAAGGAAAATGTTCAGAGGGCTTTGAACAGAATCCATGCCCTGCCCATGTTAGCTTTCCTCAAAGCCTATATTAATTATTGCATTTTTTCATATTGGGCGCCTCTCTCTAGAATGCCTCCTTCTTGCTGTTGGATAGGAGGAAAATGCTATAAGACTCACAATTATTTATCTATTTTTCACATTTATATCCCGCCCATCTTGTGTAAATACAATAACATTTAAAACATGCTAAAACATATAAAATCAATAGTCATGCTTGCTGTAGTGAGAATCCAGCCCATTGATGTATGGCCGGTTATCAGTGGCAACCTTGGGGGGCCATGAGTGGACACCCACTGCCTCAGCCAAAGGCCTGGCGGAACAGCTCCGTCTTGCAGGCCCTCTGGAATTGAAGAAGATCCCGCAGGGCCCTGATCTAAGTAGGAAGCATGCTCCACCAGCTGGGGGCCTGGGCAGAAAAAGCCCTGGCCCTGGCCCTGGCCAAGGCTGGCTAATTCATAGGAAACAGGGAGTGAGTGTAAATGGGAAATTTTCTCAGTGGAGGGGGGTAAGCAGTGGGGTACTGCAGGGATCAGTACTTGGTCCACTGCTTTTTAACTTGTTCATTAATGATTTGGAGTTGGGAGTAAGCAGTGAAGTGGCTAAATTTGCGGATGATACGAAGTTGTTCAGGGTGGTGAAAACCAGTGAGGATTGTGAGGCACTCCAAAGGGATCTGTCAAAGATGGGCAAGTGGGCGTCAACATGGCAAATGGGGTTCAATGTGGCCAAGTGCAAGGTGATGCACATTGGAGCCAAAAATCCTAAATATAAATACACATTGATGGGGTCTGAACTGGCAGAGACAGATCAAGAGAGAGATCTTGGAGTTGTAGTAGATAACTCACTGAAAATGTCAAGACAGTGTGTGACTGCAATAAAGAAGGCCAATGCTATGCTGGGGATTATTAGGAAGGGTATTGAAAACAGATCAGCCAATATAATAATGCCCCTATATAAATCAATGGTGCGACCTCATCTGGAATACTGTGTGCAATTCTGGTCACCACACCTTAAAAAGGATATTATAGCTTTGGAAAAAGTGCAGAAAAGAGCAACTCGAATGATAAAAGGGTTGGAACACTTTCCCTATGAGGAAAGGTTAAAGCGCTTAGGGCTCTTTAGCTTGGAGAAAAGACGACTGAGGGGTGACATGATCGAGGTTTATAAGATTATGCATGGGAAAGAGCAGGTAAAGAAAGAGGTACTTTTCTCACCAGCAGTGTTCCCTCTGAGCTGAGTTAGTGTGAGCTAGCTCACAGTTTTTTAACCTCCGGCTCACACCTTTTTGTCCTGGCTCAGGAGGTATGGCTCCAGAGCAAACTAATTTATGCAGCAGCCAAATCGCTCACTCACAACTTTAATGCCAGCAGCTCACAAAGTAGAATTTTTGCTCACAAGACTCGCTTAGAGGGAGCTTTGGTCACCAGTGGGAGGGCTTCTAATGTCCTGGCCCCACTGGTGGACCTCCTGATGGCACCTGGTATTTCTGGCCTGTTGAAATGGATGGGCCTTTGGCCTGATCCAACATTGGCATCTCTTATGTTCTTATGTTCTTATTATTTTTAGGCCATTTTGTGTTCTCTTCCATAGAATTTTCTCTCTCAGATTTGGCAGTGTTATTTGTGGCACCAAGAAATTAGCATTATACACATACAATGTACATGTACACACACACACGCAGATACACACACTCACAACATATTAAAACCATACAACTTGTGTACACAGTCCAAATTACTCTACAAAATCAACATAGAAAAGTGGAACTACTGAAGAAAATCTGGACCAGTGTAAAGAGGAAAGACATGGGAAGACTTCACTCAGACACCAGTTCCCAGACAGTAGGGCAAGTTCTGTCTTTCCATAGGATTCCAGCCACAGGCTGCACTTTGAGGCTCCATTCCCACCACTAAACTAGAGTAGCCACAGGAAATGAGACCCTTCCTCATCCCCCTCCCCCAGCCCAGAATCCCTTGAGCGGAAAGGATTTTTTTTACCTGTCAGATGCAAAAAGGAGGCTATGAGACAAATCTTTTTCAGTCCCATTTTCCTGAATGTGCCCAGTGTCAGCAGAACCCAGACATCACAACTCCAGAAGAGGAAACTGGGAACATTTGTGCTGTTTTTCATTCACTGTGTGTATCCTCTAGGTTTGCCGCTTCAGTCTCCTCCATTGCTTTGCAAGGACTAGAATAGCTGGAAGGAAACTTGCACCAGATAGCCTCTGATTCGGGAGGAAATGCTCCCAGTCTGCCTGGCCCGCTCAGAGAATATAGCAAGATGTGGGGGTCGAGGCTTTCTTTAAAGAGATGGTGACTCGTCCAATAGAAACGGCTGGAGTCTCAGGAAGAGAAGCAGCTCCATTCTAGCCCATCTGAGGCACTGTGTTTCTGCCTATAGATGTCCAGTTGCTCAGGAGTTCAGATCCACAAAGGACCTTCCACCCATTCTTCCATCTCTTCATTCACTGCCATGTGCAGCTGCAGAGAGTCCAGAGCATGCTTGTATCCCCCATGTTCACTTCGAAGCCTGACATGGGAGCATCAACATGGGCGTAAAAGAAAATCCTCAGCCAGTTCAGGAAGTGATGGGAATGGACAGGGCACAGCGTGAGCAGGAACTTTCAGGGGCAAGGATTTTCTTGGCTGGGGTTCAGCCAGAGTGAGGCTGCTGGGGGAGGAACGCCTGGGGGCCCTCACAGGCAATGACATTGAATCCTGTTTCCATGCAGCATTTCCTGCTCTCCACCCATTGTTCCTTGGATCTCTCTGGCTCTCTCAGGAGTCAGTCCCGTAATGGGAGGTGCCAGACAGAGCCACTACCAACTGAGAGATGATTGGCATGAAAAGACACTGGAAGCATTGGGGGGGGCCTCCATTTGTTCATAGCTTCCCAAAGGGAAGGTGGAGAGAGAACTTTACTTCAGGAAAACAATGAACGGGGAAAGGTTTACCTGCCCCGCTCAAGCTGAATGAATGTGATAATGGGTTGGTTTAAAAAAAACCCCAAAAAACCTGGAAGCTCTAGACATGGAACTCCCAGTATCTTACTTGGTTTGGTGTGGCCCTACGAGACTGAATTGTGAAGCAAAAAGCCTTTGCTTCAAATCTAGCCTCTGGTGGAAGCACTATATATGCACTATATTGGGTATAAACAGGGGTCATTTCATAGAAAAAGAGGTGAAGGAGCTAATTAGCATAACTCGTTAGCATAACTTATTTGCATATGCCACACCCCCTGAAATCACCGGAAGCATGTCAGAAGGCAACACCCACCACTCAGGCTCTACTGGACTATTTTGGATTGCTAGCTATTTCGGGGGGGGGGGAACCTGCAGATCTGTCCTCGCAGAGGAGGGAGAGCTTGTACCTGAATAAAACTTGGTCTTAAAGGTGCCACTGGACTGTTTTGGACCGGGGGGCTCTGCAACTTACCTGGCTGCTTTTTGCTCTGACTGAGGGTTGCTGGGAGCAGGGGGTGGGGCTTGTTGCATGTGCCCACCCCCTGGGTTCTTTACTGCCGGAGCTCCGCTCCTGTGCACTCCTGCAGGAAGTGACCCCTGGATATAAACCATTTAGAGGTTGGTGTGTCCCCAAGCTATAGCTGCAGAGGAACACTGAAGCACAGCAATAAGGGACAACGTAGTATCTGTTAGCATGCTTGTTGCTTAGAATTCTTAAACAGGGATAACAAGGATTGATAAAGATAGTGGCCTGGATCCAGCCACAGTTTTCTTAAGAGGGGGGTGGCAATTTTTTCAGATTCCTCTCTCCCATGGCAGCCCACTTAGCACCCTGAAATTTTTTTGGGGGGGGGCAGACTTTGAGCATCTAATGGGGCGTTTGCAGCAGTTGGGGGATAAGGGGACATTAGCAAAAAACCACCATCCTCTCTTAAGAAAACTTAACGGTATTTAAATTCACTTAACGTGGCTGAATCTAGGCCATCTCCCTGAGCATATGCAGAGTGTTTTCCCCCATCAATGAACAACTGCAATCTACTCTTCCTCCACATATTTAGAATTAAGAAGCAGGGTTTACATAGTGATGGCATGAGTCCCACACAGATTTAAACCTCTGTCTTAGAAATCAAGCATAGATCCCACCAGCAAACTACATCCAGGAAATGCCTATTGTTCCTTTCTAAAATTCACTCACTTCCCTCCACCTCCTGACTTCATGAAACCAGTTTGTTTTCCACAACTCTGCCCCTTTTGTTGTTACTGATAAAAGAAATCAGAAGAAAAATACTTTTCAGAATGTACAGATTTCCTTTACTTCATCCTGTCTCCCCACACATTGAGAATTCAGGAGTGCATTGCTCCTGAGAAAAGGCCTAAGCAAGGGTTTCAAGCATAAGCACTGAGCCTATAATCTCTTTCTTCCCCTCTAATTGTTCCCCCCACAGTACACTCCTGGCTTCCCCTCCCCATTTCTCTCCTGCCAAAGATACATATTGAGGTTGGTACCGTAGTGTGAAGGTTTAAGGCTTTAAGCTATTATATCCACACCATTTCCTCCATTTACAAATAGCCCCAGTGAGCCACCTTTCTCCCTTTTGGAAACACACTGGTATCCTGTACGTTCTTCAGGGGGGGCAAATAATAGGTCCTCTGGACCACTTTTAATTGGGAAAATGGCACGGAAGAAAAGACTCACATTATCCCTCCTCTTGCAATGTGATCCCAATCCAAATCTGGAATGGTGCATGCCTGGTGACCTTTAACACTGGGAGATCCTGACACACAGCTCCCTTCATGTTGTCTGGTTAGACCCCCCCCAGCAGTAAATAGCCAATAGCAAAAAAAGAAAAAGGGGGAGGGAAGCAAATTTACATTTAATAACCAGGCTATTACAGAGCAGAAAAACTCCAAAATAGCATCTACAAATTTCATTTTAAGTCAATTTCTCATGAGAATTGGTTGAGTTAAGGGATCAAAATGTTTAACTTTAGGTGTCCCCAAATGTATTGTCAGTGTGTTTCAAAAGTAGAAGACTATATACGTATACAGCTTTGTAATACAGTTCAGCACATCAGATGCAACACGTCCATGGTATTCATAAAAAACAAGAACAACCTATTTAATTAAAGGAGCAATAGTCTAATACAGTTCAGCACATCAGATGCAACACATGTCCATGGTATTCATAAAAAGCAAGAACAACCTATTTAATTCAAGGAGCAATAGTCAAATAAATATTTTTTAAGTAAAGAACTGAGAGAGTCCACGTCTATGACAGTGTGATCCCACCTTGTGACACCTGTATTTATGGAAATAACAACAAACCGACTTCTAGAGAGATCGTATTTAGAACAATAAGCATATCCAACAACCATCAACATGTAACAATTCAGGCCTCTTGTATTTGAGCAGACCAGGGTCTCAGTCTTTCTGACTTGTGTCTAGCCAGTCCCTTGAAGATCCACCAACTTGCAGCTGTGCTCTGCATTGGGATGTCCTCTGTTCTTTACAGGAGTTTCTGGTATCCCTAAGATATTAATATACAGTTTCATAGAAAGGAGCGCTTTTGAGGTGAGAGGGCTTCTCCCTGCAGCTTCAGGTCCTCTAGTCCCTAAAATATTAATATACAGTTTCATAGAAAGGAGTGCTTCTTCCTGCAGCTTCAGGCCCTCCAATCCCTCAGGGAAAACAGTACCTTTTTTCCCTCATAAGGAATACCCCAACTCTTTAACTCCCTCTAGTGGACTCATGATTATACAAGCAAGCAACAACAACAAAATGACAGCTATGGCTTTAAAATCAGGATGGACAAAGTGTCTTTTGCTGACCAGCAGCACCTCAGGTAGTTGTATATATGGCTTGGTAACAGAAACAACCCTTCATCACTTGTGGGTTGTGTAGGCTTACTTATGCACTGTAGTTTTTCCAGTGGGAAGAAGAGATTCATGTTCCCTCCAGTCACTCAAACTGAGCTCGTCGAAACTGCCCATGCCTAGCACTCTGAACAGTAATTCACAACACCAACTAGACATGTTTTCAGTGTAGTGCCAGTTGATCTAATCAGTGGTTGATGCATGCTGAAGCAGTCATATAACTGATTCCATCCGTGTATGTGTGTGCACGCACACACACACACACACACACAATTCATCTTTACTGCACCATTATTTAGTCATCTCTCAGGAATGCAGTGATGGCATGTTGAAGCAGTGTGTTCTGTTCTGAATTCTGCATCATTCAACTCATTCCTTATTCACAACAAGCCAGACTGCTCCACATATGAAACTGGATCTTTGCAGGACAGTACAGATAGAGCTTCTACTGCAAATATATCTATGACCTGGTGAAATCTTGCATGGGGAATGTACTCTTTGCCCTAGCAGGATTGTGAATCGGCTATCTCCTTGCCTTTGCCCTCTTGGCACATCTTGTTGCTTTGTGAGACCCTTGTTTTCACTAAACAAACAAAGGGCCAAACTCTGGTCAAGAGGGCGGGAGAGGCCAGACAGAGAACAATAGCAGTTGCCTCTTTAGATAAACATGTTTGGAAGGAAATTAAAAGTGGCTGCCAATACATCTTTCTTTAGCCAGTTTCTACTTACCAACCATTCCCACACTTATGCAAAATGTCCATGTTCCAGCAACACAAGCAAGGCATTACTTGTTTCAGAAGTTACTCTGGAGGTGCTTCAGTCTGGGCCACGATGCTCACACTCCAGAACACTCTACATAAACTACATATGCCTACTACAGCTCACAAAACCTATTTCACATATTACCAGGCCTCGGTTCCTGCCGGAGTGCACCAGAGCACCACTCCGCCAGTCAGGAGCCCAGGGGGAGGGCACATAAGCCCCGCCCCCTGCTCCCACCAGCCATCAGTTGGGACACGGGGGGGGGGAACGTTCCCCCGTCTCCCTGAGCCCCAGGGTGGTGGCCTTGGACTCGTAGGGGCAAATTCCACCTCTCGCGCGAGAGGTCATTCTGGCTCCCCCAGCTCTCCTTCGGGGCTCCTTAAAAAGTTATGGCCGCCGCTGTTCTCGGCGGCAGCTGTGACGCCCATGTGGGGGAGGGGAGGGGCAAAACGTTCCCTTGCCTCCCTGAGCCCCGGGGTGGTGGCCTTGGACTCATGGAGCAAATTCCACCTCTCGCGTGAGATGTCCGAGCGGCGTGATGTCACACACGAGAGGTCATTCTGGCTCTCCCAGCTCTCGGGAGGGGCTCTTTAAAAAGTTATGGCCGCCATCGCTGGTCTCGGCGGCAGCTTGGGGGGAGGGGAGGGGTGAAACGTTCTCTTGACTCCCTGAGCCCCGGGGTGGTGACCTTCGACTCATAGGGGCAAATTCCACCTCTCGTGTGTGATGGCAAATTCCATTCTGGCTCCCCCAGCTCTCAGGTGGGGCTCTTTAAAAAGTTATGGCTGCTGTCGCTGTTCTCGGCAGCAGCTGCGACGCACGTGTGGGGGGGAGGGGAGGGGCAAAACGTTCCCTTGCCTCCCTAAGCCCCGGGGTGGTGGCCTTGGACT